TAAGATGGGCGCTGGCGGACATTACATTTGCAAGTATGTATTGTTGACAAATTGTACACTACGGTCATTCTATAACAATCGATCAGTCGTTTTTTTTCACAGTCTTACTATTCCTGCAGATATTCTTCAATTGTTATAGGTGCCACGGATTTTAACATAACTACAACTTGACCCGTGTTAAACCCAAACCATGCGTGCATGACAACCACCACCCTACACACGGTTACTCAACGAATACCGTACTCTACAGTAGACATTTTTCGCTCTCCACCAAAAATAGAAAGGTTTTATTTCATATTAGTTGTGTCTGTGTCAGTGTCGTATTTGATTTATTTTAACATCATAAAAAACAAAAATGATACACTTGTACATGAAACAGTAGGTAATGAACTGTAAATGCGGACGGTTGCGCTGTCAGGCGAGCGAGCGAGCGATTGCGCGAGCGGATACTTCCGGATTTGCGCGGTCGAAAAAAAAGCGGAAATTGCGCGGTCGAATTGAATAAAACGAGCGAAAAAAAAGCGATCGAAATCCGGAAGCGGGCGGGAGGTTCGGCGAAATGAGTACTGTACCTATAGGTTATTTCAACTGCTGTTTTCGTAGGGTTGCACTAAATTGGCCAACTTATGTTTCAGTTTAAATTGAAGCCTACTTTACAATGTCCATCCAGAGCACTCCGCGCATGCAGTAGACAAGTTTTTTTTTATTTCTCGTTATTGCAAGACTTTTGGGTACACCTTTCGCTATTATCCAAAATATATCCTCTTCAATCACGACTGTTTCAATATCATTTACTTCCATTGAATTGAAACAATCATCGACTTTGACTTCTCGAACACGTACACAACTTAAGTTCACGAAACACCATTTTAAACAATGACCTTTGGTCAGACGGTTTTCGAATATTCCAGAGGGCTGAATTGCCAGGGCTTCTTGTTTTTCGGGTAACCGCAGCTTCTGGTTAGACGATGTCACATACGGAATGATAACAGTGTCTAAATATGCATTGTTTCCCGTATTTTTTACTTGGTAAAATGGTTACCATTCTTAGTGTGAACTGCAGTAACAATAGCGATAATCCTCGGACGTGTGATGGCTAGTGGAAGCGTAACACCCATTTTAATGTGTGAATTAGTAACAGGCATTGAATAATAAAGTTGAAATAATTCATCTGCAAGGAAAACGCAAATTTTTTCTAATTTGCTTTTACGCGAAAATTTCATTGCATGAAAATTTTACGTCCTGCAGTATGTTAATTCGATAATCTGTTGTTTCCTGCTAGATTAACTAGCAAACATTATAATCACCGAGTAAACGGCGGAAATGATCCTGAAACCTTTGATCTTAAACCAGTTGTAACTCCTCCTGTCTTTTACCTCCATGGATTGACAGTGTTACCTTGACCACCAAAATGAATATTAATTGAAACTCATTGCAAGAAGGCATGAACATTGCAAAGTCGCAGTATTGAACTTGCCTACGAGACGTACACTATTCTGTCAGGTGTTAGTAGGGTCTGAAGTTTAGCCGGCGAGCGTGCCACTTACGCCTACTTGTCCTGCTACAACATGGGTCAACTTGTTACAAATTGATCTGTGAACCAGAAATTCTCTACAAGTCAGTAAGCATTTTATGATAACAACCTACATGTATACAGTTTAGTGCAGGTGAATATGCCATACCAGTGTGTATCTGACGGGCAATTTCACTATTGTGATATTTTTTTTACTATTCTAACTACTAGTATTGAAAATACAATTTTAACATGTTTATCACGAATGGCCGATGAATTGTATACCCGATAATAGACCGCTATTAGCAGACTGGAGACTTGCAATTTTTAAAAACGTTTGAATAATATCATGATGGATATCCATAATAATATACATGTATGATTTTTTTTTTATCCAATACAATATTTGGACATTTGTTACAACATTTCTTGTAAAATCGGACAATGACACCAATTTAATTTTCATTATTGGTAACACATGTGTGACATGATGTTTAATGTAGTTGTACACTTTATTACCAGAGTACAATTTGTCAAAGCATGTCAAAGTCATGGCCTTAGAACAGCATTCGTTAATACAAAATTTCCGTCATACAGTCTGATCTGAAATACATTATGATCCCATCATGTTCAATGTCTTCAAAGATCAAAAAAATTGCTGCCCATGTATGGCAGATATCCAGAATTCTTGATGGCAGAATTTGAGAATTTTCCATCAAAAAATGGCCATCATTCGGCCACCTTGAATCGGATTGTGAAACGAATGAACTTGCCTATGTAACCCTCATTTAAACACTTGATGCGACACGATATCCGCCATGTTTTTTTATGCCCACGAGTGACCTGAAAGTGTGTTTATTGACCTGATAGGTCAAGTTTTTAATCAGCCCAATTTAGAGAAAATAAATGAATGTACCGTTAAGAATGTTTCAGGTGGAATTTTTCAAGAAAAAAAAATAAACATACTGTTATGTTTATTTTGGACTTGAGATTAAACTCACCATCTTGTTATTTTGAAACGGTAGACTTTGTGAAGTCCTGTGTGGATCGACCAGTGTGTGAAAGCCAGATTGGCAGCTTGAAAAATCAAATTTAAATGTACATGTACATGTCTTTCACTTATTACTGGGACGTTTTGTCTGAGTACGTTTTGTCCAGTCTTCCATTTTTAAAAAGCTATGAACTAAATAGTCTTTTTCATTGCTTTATTGGAAGTCAAAGTTAAGTTCAGTGATGTACGAACACGCACACATACTTTTAAACGCCCAGCAAAAGAGGCAACTAAATGGCATTAGTTGCACTGTCGATAGTTTGCATGGCATGTGTTATACGTTTGTATGTTGGAAACAAAGGATACACACTTATGATCCTTCCAATAATGTAACTGTATTAGTTTGCAGGAATTGTGTTTCATTGTCAACCTAGAGCAAAAGAGACCCAGGAAGCTGCCTTCAATAGATCAAGTGGCTTTTTTGAACTTACTCAACAGATAATAGTGTAGCTGAAGATGAAGCACATGGAATTAACACCTCCAAATAACAAGCAGCCTCACGACTGAAATAGCTTCACTGTTAGCAATGCCCATTTCAATTAACGAGTTGAAGATATCATTACAAAATGAACAAATTTGAGAGAGGTCCACATGTAGTACAATTATGTATAATACATGTATTAAAGAAATTGGACTTGCAGTTTTCAAAAAATTATACCAAAAATTACAAAAATATTCACTAAAATTAAAGATATTATCATAAAATGGAAAAAAATCTAAGTGAGGTCTACCAAAGGTACATAAAATACTTTATTTTCGCTTGGAATATATTTATAAGAAAATCCATCCATCCATCGGCCGGCCGAAATCCTTTCCAGAATGCCAGGAATGTTCAATTTTTGATGATTTTTTAGCAGAAAAATGGCCACCATTCGGCCATTTTGAATCAGAGGTCAAACCAATACATCTGTATATCTACTACATGATGTATAATGAATATAAAATCTGATCTGTAAAATAAAATGATGTGCATCAAGGTCCCATAATGTCCAATGTATTGTACAAAGTTTGAACAAAATCCATCTGTAAACAGCTGAGAAGAAAAATGTCGCTATTCGGGCATCTTCAATCAGATCGAGAAACAAATTGATGTGCATTTGTATAATATTAGGTATGTATGATGTATGTGTGAAGTTCGAATGTAATCTGTCCAGGCATCTCTAAAATCTACATGTAGGTCCGAACGCATGCACGCACGCACACACACACACAGACATGTGCCTGTGCACCAAGTGCACCAAGGTACCATAACATCCAATGTATGTACTAAATTTGAACAAAATCCAACCAAGAACTAGTTCTGGAATGCCAGAAATGCTAGATTTCAGTACAAAATTGGCCGCCATTCGCCCATGTATGTGTGAAGCTTCAATGTGATTTGTCTAGGCATGTCCAAGATATAGGTCCGGTGCTAGGAATCCACAGACGCACACACAGAGGTCAATCCAATCCAAGTCCCAGTTTTCAGACTGTGTCGAACGGGGACTAACAATGGAGGTGATTAAAACATTCTATTGTTATGCATTGATAATGTATGTAATTTTAGTTGGAGAACAGACATCTTTCATATACATCACACTGTACATCACAGAGCTGGGCCTCCATTAACACTAAAATGTTTTTTCATTGGCTGTTCCTGAATCCCAGCATAGTATTTTACTTTGTACTGTTATGTAATTCAACTCACCTGTATCTAATACTTCACATAGTTTAGACTTTATGTGTTGCAACTGTACTGTTAAACCAGGATCATCAATATGGCCAGCACACGTCACGGCCAACTCCACACCGGAGTCAAAGAATTGCAACTCTTCCATGATAAGCCTGTAAAGTCAAGTGTATCATTATTTTCAAATGTACTTTGGCAAAGTCGTGGCAATTTTATTGTTTTATATATTTCTCTGAAAAACAAGTTTGGAGAATGACTCGCGTTGACACGAAATTTTCATGACTGGTCTGTTCTATAGCGCCCTCTATAGTTGTGGCTGTGTTTTTGAGGTGACGCGTAGAACCCATTGAACTAGCGCACTTTTACTTTCCTCTTTTGGAAGTCCATACCATGAATAATTAATAGCAATTAATACGCCTCAGAATAGACCAGTTGTGGTAATTTCACATCGAACCATGATTTAAGAATGAAAATAATTAAAATAGCCACAGCTGGACCAGTCTAGAAAAAGACGTATAATAATAATATTGTTGCATTAACCACACTGATTGAAGCAATGATTGCCATAGACTAGATAACAATTCTGTAAGGACTACAAGTTTTCGCTCAAGTATGATCCAAAACAAACGAAACAGGAAGTAAAAGAAATTTCGCATTAGCACTTTTGAACTGGTCTGTATTGAGAAAGAGATCTCAGTCAACAGTATCAATAAATTTGTTTCCTTAAATTTCCCATTGCTATTACTATAATATTAGTAGTGAGAGACAGCCCTATACGAATGACTTCACTGTTTATTGTTGAATTGTTTATGCATTTTGTTGTATTCAGAATTTTTTCGAAATGTATTCGCCGTTTTCCTTCCAGTTTTTGACCAAAAAAAAGTTCAACACTCAATTTCATGTGCAAAAGTGGTAGTTTGACAGTTTATGGAAATTCATGCTGAACTGCCAGAGGGCAAGGCATTGAACATGCAGATTTTTGATTGCCAATGTTCAATATTACTCTGTTTTCTTCCAAATATCACTCTCAAGTCCCAAAAATTCCAGCCCAAACAAACCACTGGGGCAATCGTATCACAAAATATAAAAAAAATCGGAGAACAAGGAAGCACATACAGCATTTTATAATAAAAAGGGACATATACCCTAAAATACAATGAAAGGTAGTGAAATTATGCTCAGATATTGGAAATAATTTGACCGTTCACAAAATATTGTGCAACTGTAGATCATCATTATCATCAAATCGTCTTGATAGAATACCCTACTTTGTAACCCGTTGTTACCGGCGTTATATAAGGATATTTTTTAGTTTCACCGCCGATGCACAAAACCATAAGTTGTAAAAAATATTAGAACACCGGACTGTGGTATCAAGCTAGTTTCATGATGTGTTGGCATAAAATTACACACGATAGTTACCTTAGTATTCACAGTGTGTGCACGACAGAAAATCCATAATGTAATAACACGATAACAAAGTTTCTGAAACAATTGTTATTTCCAGTTTTTTGTGTGCTTCGATTCATTCCCACGCGTCAGCCATTTGCAATGACTGTAATGACCATGCGCAATAGTTTGTCTGGGCGAGTTCATTCCGAGCAGGCAGTTTGTGACGTTGGAGTTTTCACTGGGAACAAACATGAAGAACGCAAGGATTCAGTTGTTAATCAGTTAATATGACCAATTAAGAATTTAGTTACGTCCACAACTATTTCACAATAAGTGTGAAATGGTTTACAATGTGGTATTCGCTTTGAAGTGAATACTTTCACCCCTTGTTTAATGGACAAGGCAAAACTTCAACTTTGACCGGCTCATTAGCAATGCAAATTAATAACAACAACCTCATTTGCAATTTAAATTATTTACTTGCAATCTCGTTCGAAGCTGATTTTCTCGCCGTTAGGCCATGGCATAGTAATACCGGATAATATAGTATATTGAATGCGTGGCGTATTTCTGTGATTCCAGACGTGTTGTTGGAATAACACCGAGACAGTCGGTGCCAAAAGATGTCAAGTGAACCAGAGGACAAGGCCGCAAAGGATAGTGGTGATGAAAGCGAAGATGAAGAAGTTCTGGAAGAAAGTCCGTGTGGTCGATGGCAGAAGAGAAGGGAAGAGGTAGGGCTAGTGCACTGGAATGGTGCTTTGATTCATGTGGTTGCTTGTGCTCGTATATTACCAGACAAACATGAAATTTATGAAAATAATACTACTGTTCTTGGCCGTTGTTTGAAAAATGACGGTTAACGACTATAAATTTAGAAATTAAACTAGCAGGCGAGGAATCCGGGAATAGAACATGCGATCGTTTCACCCACACGGTCTCAATGCCTGTATTTGACATCTACAGTCACATATGTGCCGGGATCGTTTTTGAATTCGATGTTTTTTTGAACATTTTAGTGAAACAGGGATATTTTCTGATAGGCTATATAACACACTTGAATCTTGCTTTAAATGGAGACATTTACTTGCCGAAATGATGCCGGGAACAGCAGTTGAAGTGGCAAACTGTAACCTCAAATTCCGCCATTTTGACTAACTTTGTACTGTTGTATGTATGTCATGAATAGTCCGCGTGGCCGTTTCTGAGTGACCTTATTCTCTATCATTGTCAATTTTCACACAAAATTGTGAAGTCCCCCGATTTAAAAAAAAAGATAATTAGTTTAATTGGATACGAGATTTTTTTTTGGGGGGGGGGGGGGGTGAATGGCGAGTATGAATGTATTGTCCCATGACGAATGTTTTGGGTGCACAGCTGTTCAGTAGGCGTACTTGTTTAGGTCACAGCTTTTTTTATTCGCTACTAAAATGGGTCAAAGTAATAGAAGTATGTTTCTCATCCCGTTTCATAAATGTATTATATGACCTTTTTAAAAGTTCAATAACATGCCTGAAGTTTTTATTGTACAAAAACAATGGCAGTTTGCCAAACTTCATTGAACAAGAGAATTTTGATACAAGGATGCTACACATTTGGTCTCTCCACTACTTTTCACAAAGGCTGCTATTGTTTATTTTAGAATGTCCCTTTGTAAAATCATGGAACTACATTATTTTTGAAAAAGAATGTCGTCTGCAATATGTTTTTCAAATTCTTGGAAATACATGTTTTGTAAAACGCCTTATACTGTTCACACAACAAATCCATTCCCTTCATTTTTTAAAATATCACTAGTTTTCTTTTGGTCAATGGAGAAATATTGTAATGTTTTCAATGCACATTTTGAGTATTGATTAGCTGATTGGATTCAGTTGAAATTAATTTAAATATTTATAAAAAATAAGAGAATGGGTTTGTTGTGTCGGTCATATATCCATGTTTTGAGAAGGAAACCAACTTTTGGTGGTATTACATTTGTCACAAAGCAAGGGGTGTGTCACAATCTATAATTCTGTGGTCACAGCATACTAGTTCAAGCCTAGAGAATTTTGTATGTAAACAAATAACTACACAAATGACGCGTAAATCAATATGCAAGTGTAGTATTGCATTGGCCAAATATTAAAAAAAAATACAATATAGCAAATTAAATAAAAACAAAGGCGTTTTTTGTAACAGATATTTTCTTTAATAGTTTCACTTTATGTATTGTTTGTTTATATCTGTGCCGTACATTTTATGTTTTGTCTTTACCATACAGTACCCTCAGATGGTACATGTCCAGTACAGTTATTATTGTTATTATGTAAACATACTATATATTGTACTTGCCCTACTATTAGTATGTTCTCAATAAATTGTGAATTACATTCTCATCATACTGTGAACTACTAAACATAATCTATTTCTAAATTCTAATGGGTTCACTTCCATAATAATCTTGGTATGGTTTTGTTTCAAGTTTGCGTCATATTGTGCCCTAAATTTGTGTATGTGTATTTAAATCATCAGTCTGCAAAATATTGTACAACTACTGATTAATCATAAAAACTTGTGACCTATGTATGACATAAGGTTGCTGAATGACACGTTCAAAAAAATGAACAAATGGTTCAGTGTGAGTTTAGTGTTAAAAATCTCTCCAAAACAGAAGTTTCATATTATTTTTTTTCTTCGCACTTTTAGGATGGGTTTGAATATTAAATAATTGTTTGCTGTTTTAAACGCCCAACTGCCCTATATAATGAACATTTTAGGTAATCCCTTCAGATAATTGTAACTTCTGATGAGAATCACAAAGTTTCTTCAGTGACAGAATAGTGTACAATGTATGTCTCGTCGGCAAGATCAATACTGCGAATTTGCAAAGTTCACGCCTTCTTGTAATGAGTTCAATGAATATTCATTTTGGTGGCCATGGTAACACCGTCAGTCAAAGCAGTGTTTGCATTGTTGGCAAAAATCACAGACTGTTTTCAACAAGATGATAAACATTGGACGAAAATTTGCCAGCACCTTATCACACATTATGTCAACAAACAAATAAACTCTTTGATGGCTGTCACTATCTGAGGTTCCTGCAATTTGATTGGTACCGTCAAAAAATCGTTAGGGGAAGTGAACAACTACATCGATCTGTTAGGCGTGTGTTGGGTTTGGAGCACCACTGAGAGCGCAACTAGTCTTGCGTTACCTCGTCAGGCTATGCATTATGGTTGATAACTTCCCATTGTGTCTAATGGAAAACTTGTTTCTGGAAACTTACTGAATCACATTTTTTGAAATGATTTCATAACGTTATATTTTTTATCAAGAATAATGTACAATTTTTTCATCCCATGTCACTGGGCAAAATTTTGAGATATGAATCAATAATTTCACCATAGAAACCAATGACAATTTTGACCATTTTCCATGATATTTGGGACTTGTGTATCTCAAAAAATCATCTGGTGATCCCAATTTTTATTTAAATAATACATTTACACAATAAAATAATTAATACAATGACTGACTACATTTCATGTTTGAGTCATGTGTTAAATTAGATTTGCATTAGTATTTTGTGCACAGTGTACATGTAGAACAGCTGTTATTGTGCTTGTCACGTATTTACTATTAATAATTTTCTTATTTGGATCATTACCACATAGCCATAGTACATTAAAAGATATTCAGTTTGAAATATCACTGCTGAATATGGTACACATCAGTTTATGAGTATATTTTTGACACTAGGTTGGGCTACCATTATCCAAAATTAATAGCCTAACTGGACAATTAGAAATTTCCAAAATATTAAGTTAATACTTTAAATAAACCAATTTGTCTCCAGATTATGAGTGTCTGATACAAATTGAGCAAAATGGCATTTATTTATTTAGGTTGACACTTCTCTGCATGGAGGCAAGTATCTACTATACCTGTGTAGTCCACCCAATACAATTATGGGCTTACCAGCTCTTTAAACTGGTAGCCCAGTAGACTTGCAAACATATTTGTTAATTTTGAGCCCTGTAACTAGATAAAACTGGATTAGGCTGGTTTGATGAAGAGTTTGACCTGTCTTTCAACGTTTACCTTGTCATGTGATTTTTAAAGTTTGTAAACAGCAAATTATCTGCATTTTAAATGTTATCAACAATTGTATTGACCCACTTGTTTGCTTAGCATGTTTACATACCATTGGCTGCTTCTGAGATAATAGTTGTGTTCACGTTACACGAAGTACGGGCTAAGATTTTAGCTGATCTAGGCTTATCTAGCATATTTGCATTTCGGCTAGATCCAATTCCGTCCACGCACAGGGAGGGCCAGTCGTTAGCACAGGCTAAGGGGTGCCATTCAGCTAAGTGTTCGCGCATACTTCGTTAGCCCGTGCTAAGGTCTAGACCGCGTCTTAAATTCGGATCAGATTTAACCCGTACTTAGCATTCCTTAGCCCGTGCTAAGCGTTCACGCACGTTTTCTTAGCACGGGCTAAGGAATTTGACCTCTTAGCCCATGCTAAGGAGCTGTGCGTGAACGCAACTATTCATTCACTTTAATACCATGTTCTTACTAGAAAAATTTACACTGCTCTACTAAGTAATTAAAGACTCGGGGATCTCGTAATCTTCCAATTAGGTAAGTGTTTTTCAATAGCCACAATGACTCGCAGATAGGCAATGTATTGGTAGACCATATATCTTTGTCTTTTGTGTCTCTTATTTATTATTTTTACTCTTTTGTGTCTTTGACTTAATGATTATCAGTAGTTGACAACTATTAGCCATTAAATGTCATAATAATCAACATCGCAAGCAGATCTCGAGTTCAACTGTACACAATGTACATTGTATAACCATGGAACTATAAACCCCAGGAAGAACAACCACTTCGTTTCCTTTGAACTATGATAGTTGCCGCGATGTCTAATGTTTATTTTGACTGTTTATTTCGTCGCTTTAAAAATTAAGCCGATTTACGCAAATGAACGTTTATCTCCGACTATCGGTCATTTTCGGAGTCAATCGGGCGACTTCGGGAGATCACGTGATCGAGTTGTTTCGGTTATAGCATAAAAAACAATGGCCCCAAGACAAAAACACTGATAAATGAGCGACATTCAACAGGGAAAAAAAACACATTGCCACTTCTGGCAATCGAAGGGAAACACGGAATAAGTCGGGATATCTCGACAACAAACAGCATACCAAACCCCATGTTTTGCAAACTTTCGCAACCTTATTTTTTCGAGGGTTGAAAGAAGTAATCAAAAACGACATTGAAAATTATGAAAACTCGCTAAAACTCCGACCTGTTGCATGATTTCCAGTACACTGAAGGTCACCCTGCAGACCGACTTGTTTGCGCATGTGTAGTGAACGAAATATTTTACTGCGCAGATATGAAACTTTTTTTCAAGTTTTCCGTTTCCAGCAAAGCGGTTGAAACGGGCGTATCGGCGGCAACTAACATGGAATATGACTAATGTTGTGGAAACAAAAGCGAAAGCACTGTAAGATAAACTAAGACAAAGGTTTTTTTAATCCTTTTAGTTTCGTTGTTCTTCCTGGGGTTTATAGTTCCATGGTATAACAATGTGATTGAAAATGCAACACTTATTGAGTACTGGTAGTGTATTTGCTCTGTTGGAAGCGCATCACCAATAGAAGCGCATATAAACTAAAAAATGCATGTATTATATGATCAATTATTGATGTATGTTTTGTGCTCTCATCTGTTTTTT